CGCAAATATCTATGAAATATAAAGACATATTCATTCAACATATTTGCAGTGAAATTCACCGAAAGAAGAAATTGTGGAAGCCACCTCCATCCACAATTTTAAGACCAGATTCGTTAAAGAACTAGAACGTCATTATTCATAACGAAATGGGTACATTAAGGGCACGACCTCGCCTCTCCCCATAGTCTCTATAAGGCAAGCACGGGTAGGTAAGGGCGTTCCGTTACCATAGGTGGTGGTGGTGGCGACCTCATATAGTCAGCACGCGACAAACAGCCCGGGAGAATGCTAAAATAATGCCTTTAATGGCTGGCGGGGGTCATAGAAGCGGCCGCCCTTCTCCCGCCAGCCCCGCTCGGCGCCGCTCTGCAGGTGGCCTCCAACAGGAATGCGAGCAGAGATGCCAGCGTCTGCCCTCAGATCGTGACGTGAATGTTGGTGGGCGTCTGGACGGGGATCTTGACGAGAATATCATGAAGACCAGAGATTTTTACGAGTATGAGTGGATGATATAAATCCAGCGTGATTTATAAATATAGATATCTATATAAATTAGAGTGTGTATGTGTTTGAAGCTGGAGGCCAGATGCGGTGGGCTAGCCTCACCCGATTGTTCAGCGTAATTCAGCTGGGTACATGCCCAAAATGGCTGGGATGGAGTTGGCATCAATCAAATGAGTTCGGCATGACACAGAGCCATTGGCACCCCTGTGAACCTCTTCACGACTCTGGGACCTGCTGGACTTTTAATTTTCTAGATACTAAATTCTTCCTCTGTGTGTCTGTTCCGTCAGACCCTTCCCTCCCACACACCACCCTCCTTCGCACCCTCCCATCCCAGCATCCGAACCTCACCCCTCCCAGTCTATTCACCCACCCTCATAACCCACCACTGTCAGCTTTCCCACCTCTTCCTGTAGCACAGTAGTCTACGTGTTTTTTTTTTTTACGTAGTACGTACTACGCGCAATTTCCTTTTTCTACCACATAATAAAACATTAAACACTAACATCCACAAAATTGTCGAAAAACTCTACCTGTCATACTTTGGCCATAAGTAACAGTGTTCATGATGCCATCTATACCAAGTACTTACCTAGTGTGCTTGTGGGGGGGGGGGGTTGAGCTGCGGCTCTTTGGTCCCGCCTCTCAACTGTCAATCAAATGGGGTACGGATTCCTGATTCCTCCTCTTCCTCCATACGCACCTTCCTTCTACCTTCGGAGTCAATCGTAATCACGTGTTGTAAATGTGTGCACACTGTAATGTGTGCTGACATGTGCTACATAGACACGTGTTATGATACACACTGACACGTGTGATACTGGTGTTGTACTTACTGATGCACGATACATGCTGACAGATGATATACACACGTGAGACATACTGACAGATAATATATACACATGATTCATGCAGACAGATAATATATACTGACAGATGATCCATACTGACACACATATAGTTCATACCGATACACATGGTGCATACTGATATGTGACTAATACTAACCCATGATACACACCGACATGTGATACATCTATACATGTGATACATCTATACATGTGATAGATCTACATCTACACATGTGACAGATCTATACAGGAAACGCCAGTATTTTATACCCATTTACACCTGCTAATGCACTCAATTATGTGAACCTTCCAATCTGTAAGGAAACTCTGCGACCAGTCTGTCTGTCTGTCTGTTTGGACAAGTACAGCAGCCATGATCTTGGTAACGTACAAGTTTCTCATGACGATGATAAACAACTGTTGTGACTATTAATACTCGCAAGGACACGCAGTGTGTGTGTGTGTGTGTGTGAGTGAGTGTGTGTTTGTGTGGCCTTGAGCCAACGCGTGTCTGTGAGGGCATTACAGACCGTTGTTTGGCTTCCCCCCGTCTCTTCCCTGTCGTTGGCACTTCGTTACTTTAGGCTAATGTGACGCAAGATCATTTCCCCAGCTTAACGACTGTATATATATCGGAAGCTCTGTTCTCCTACTTCACGGGAGACATCTCCCGTCACGCAGGGTGCAGTCGCACCTCCACAGATCTCCAGTATCATCTATTGATACTGGAAATGGTTCAAAAGGGCCACCACTTATGGGCTATTCATGCCCAAGCCACCTTTTGGGTGGCTTAATCTTCTCTCTTTCTCTTCTCCTACTTGGAAAATTAAAATGAAAACGGATGAGTGAACTCACCACCCAGCTTGACATTTTTGTTGGTCATGTGTCAGAATGGTACAAATCTTTTGAACCTTCTTCGGTTCTTGGTTAACTTGAGACGGTTAAGCAAGTCCCAGTTGTGTCTGGATACAAGTGACAGGATGAACAACCCAGCGTTTCTTCCTATTTGGGGGAGTGTCTTGGGAGTGAATTATATCATGAAGTTAATATACATTTCTATGGCCATAAGAAATGTTCTGATTACTCTAATTCCTAAGTTATTCCAGCAGAATGCCTTCCACACCATTCCCTCTTTCTAGATGTCTTTGCAAGACTTTGAATGGATGGACCTGAACTGTCTTCCCTGTGGAGTTAAAGACTTTACTCCTCCTTAGATGTAGTGCTTCAAGCATTCAAGAGGTTAAGGTAATTACCAATAGAAAGCGTTAAGACAATACAACTATATAGCACTTGAAAGGGACGTGAGGACAGGGAGCTGGGATAGGCTGTAGGGAAGGAGCGCTGCCCAACTATTTTGATAGTCAGGGATCGAACGCCGACCTGCAAGAAGCGACGCCGTCACTTTACCGACCAGTCCTTGTGAATGGGGCCACGCATGCGTGGAATAGTGTGTTCATGGTTGCATTACCGCCTCCCTCACCCTACACACTGAAAAATCATTTACCAAGTGTATATTTTACATTGCAAACAAGCGCGTCATCCTGACTGTGCTCTCAAGAGTGAGTGTTGAAGGTGACTTTCCCTGGATAAGAAGTTATTTGTCCAACAGGATGTCCTCTGTCCTCTCCCAAGGATAGTGGAGTGTAACTAAGGACCTTGAACTGGCCAGGCCGGCGGGAGGTGTCATCTCCTCCCTATGAGGCTGTCCTGAGGGCTCATTAATTAATGAACTAAAGAGTCTTCTGTTAAATTATGTTCTTAGTAAATCCAACGAGGCCTCTTGAGTCACTACGTGTACTGACACAATATATATACTCGGCCGTGTATCAGACACGAATAAGAGAGCTTCCTTCTCAAGGTTGTGTGGGGGAGGGAAGCTGTCAAATTACCACACTACGGTCAGGCAGTGTTGTCTTCTCTCACTCGTATCCTCACACACCTCGCCAGGGACTCCACCCAGATACATTTTGATTTATATTACGGTGCCTGGATGAGTCTCTGTAATGAGACTCATATTAGCGTGTCTACGTATTTTGCTGTATATTTCTGGGAATATGAGATGACGCTGGATAGAGTTCTGGCGTCATTGCGCCTCGTCCAAGTCATATGTAACTTGTTGTAGCTAATGCAAGTTGACGTCACGCGTCGGCGATACCGAAAATGATTGGCCGAGGATCGTCACTGTTTGCTGACGTGATGGTGAGGTCATCCCTCCAGCTCACTCGGCCCCCACACACTGGTATGAATAATAATTTTAGCATCAATGGTCACCGGAGACATAGTCACGCGTTGGACCCACTCTCTAGCAATATTTGCCGATGGCAGAAGGTTGTCCATGACCTCAGCCGGCCGACAGTGGGAGCTTTGCTGGGGATCAAGGAAGTAATGTACTGCCTGTTTGACAACTGTTCATCATGTTCAACAATGTCGGCGACCTGGTCAATCATCCAAGGTTCAACAAAGTCTTCACTGGTGTCTGATCAGCACAGCTTGATCTGTGACACTCCTGTAGTTCTGGCCAGGCACTCGGCCCTCCTGGGAACCGCGACACGTGACTGTACTCTCTGTAGTGTGGTTGAAACGTATTACAAGTGACCTGTAATAGTGACTTCAGTCTCGAAACCGAGACTGAAGCTCGGTCTCGATCTCTTGAAGAGACCGAGAGAGTTCATACAGCTTTATCTTTCCTGTATCCCCTTCTGTCTTTGCTCTCCCTGCTGCTTCTGCTGCCCCTACATCTCATGCTACTTCTACATCTCCTACTGCCTCTGTTGACTTTGTTTCTCTTGCTGAAATCACCTGCTGCTTCTACAACTCCTGCTTCAGCTGGCTTTGGCATTTTTACTGCTGCTTTCCTTGTTGCCCCTCCAGCTTCTTATTGTTCCTACTGTTCCCCATTCCCGTGACGAACCTGTTGTCTACTGCCTCTTCTGCCTTCCCCCATCCCTCCCCTGCTGCTCAAGCTATTGGTGTCAGCTGACCCTGCCGATCTGCTGATTTTGCTGAGCTGTTGACCCTGGCGCCCCTGCCGCTTCTGTTCCACACATCAACACAATTATAAGAGCATTAGATCAGGGGTGTCCACAGCATTACCAATGGCCTCCTCGCCCCTCGTGCAGAATACGAAACGACGCTGCCTGTGGCATTCACGGGTAGTTAACAGGAGCAAATAATCCAGCAATTAACATCACTAACAATTGGCAACTAATTAAAATAGGAATTTAGGAAGCTTGCTAATCTGTGTAGTTGGGTTGTTGGATATCCTTGGCAAGACTAGTAATTTCTGGGACGTGTGGAGAGGGAACTTGGTGGTACACCACCCCTGGGGGACACCATGCTTCACCCCTTGAAGCTGAGGTTAGCGTGAAGACCCTTGAAGCTGAGGTTAGCGTGAAGACCCTTGAAGCAGAGGTTAGCGTGAAGACTTAGGAGAAGAGTGTTTATTATTGTGGGTTGATGCGTGTTCCTCCGAATGATAATATTAGTGAAATAAATAAAATCTATGAATAAACAGTGCGTGTGTGATGCCAATATGCACGTATGGTTGTATTATGCATATTTTTGTACATTTGCGTCATTATGTATCTAGGCATGTATACGTTTACATGTAGATTAGATATGAAATTGTGCGTGCGCGTTATCTGTGCTTGAATGAGTGTGCGCGCAGGTGGAGGCGCCGGGTACGGCGTCGGGGCACAGTGACCGGCTAGACTCCGCTGGGGTCAGCTGTGTGAAGGAAGGTGGTGGTCGCTATACCGCTGTGGCCGCTGTTACCCAGGTAAGACCCCCTACCCGACAACACCACCCTCTCTGGCTACATGGGGGTCAGGGTGTTGTCCCATTGTCGGGGACTGGAAGCCCGTGAGAGCGGTGGATTGTTTCAAGCGCAGGTTAGACATATATGTATAATGTAAGAGATTCAGTGGATATAAATAGGAACTGCCTCGTTCGGGCCAATAGACCTCTGCAGTTTCTTGTACTCTTATGGTCGTATCTTCGCTTTGATATTCACAGCGGCCATCCAGCACCTTCCTCGTGTCGTAATGTGGCACAGTGCCTTGTGGCATTCAATATATCATGGCCTAGAATTCACGGAATAGATTTATATGTTCATTTCCGAAAGAGGTTACTATTATTATTCCCCAGTGTAGCCAAGTGCTAGAGGTACACTAGAGGTGCTCCTTGTCTTCAACACCACCACACTAAAGATGCTCCTTGGCTTCAACACCACCACACTAAAGATGCTCCTTGGCTTCAACACCACCACACTAAAGATGCTCCTTGGCTTCAACACCACCACACTAAAGATGCTCCTTGGCTTCAACACCACCACACTAAAGATGCTCCTTGGCTTCAACACCACCACACTAAAGATGCTCCTTGGCTTCAACACCACCACACTAAAGATGCTCCTTGGCTTCAACACCACCACACTAAAGATGCTCCTTGGCTTCAACACCACCACACTAAAGATGCTCCTTGGCTTCAACACCACCACACTAAAGATGCTCCTTGGCTTCAACACCACCACACTAAAGATGCTCCTTGGCTTCAACACCACCACACTAAAGATGCTCCTTGGCTTCAACACCACCACACTAAAGATGCTCCTTGGCTTCAACACCACCACACTAAAGATGCTCCTTGGCTTCAACACCACCACACTAAAGATGCTCCTTGGCTTCAACACCACCACACTAAAGATGCTCCTTGGCTTCAACACCACCACACTAAAGATGCTCCTTGGCTTCAACACCACCACACTAGAGATGCTCCTTGGCTTCAACACCATCACCACACTAGAGATGCTCCTTGGCTTCAACACCATCACCACACTAGAGATGCTCCTTGGCTTCAACACCATCACCACACTAGAGATGCTCCTTGGCTTCAACACCATCACCACACTAGAGATGCTCCTTGGCTTCAACACCATCACCACACTAGAGATGCTCCTTGGCTTCAACGCCGTTGAAGATTTCAAACAAGAAAAGGCAATTAATAAATTATGATTGGGGGGGGGGGGCGACATGTCGCCATTTGATAACAATTGCGCAGTATTTGAGAGACTGTTATCAACGGCTGGTGTGGTTCACACGCCTTCGGCTTCCAACCCCAGGGAGCCCGGGTTCAATCCTCCCGGCCGGGACAGAAACGATTGAGAAACTTTTCCTTTCACCTGGTGCCTCTGTTCACCTAATAGTAAATAAGTACCTGGAAGGTAGCCAGCTGTTAAGGATGCATCGTGAAGATGTGTGTGTGTGTGTGTGTGTGTGTGTGTGTGTGTGTGTGTGTGTGTGTGTGTGTGTGTGTGTGTGTGTGTGTGTGTGTGTGTGTGTGGAATATATATGGAATAGTAGATATGGCAGAGAAAATAAGTTAGGGGTTGATTTATTACACAACCAAAGGTTGAAAAGATGGGGTCCAAGAGCTTACAGATCGATCCTGCAGGCACAAATAAATACACACACACACACACACACACACACACACACACACACACACACACACACACACTCACACACACACACACACACACACACACACACACACACACACACACACACACACACACACTCACCCCTGTTGGAGAGAAATGTTAGTTAGAAATTTGCGTGTGTTAGAGAGAAACATATGTAGTAGACATAATAAAGGACAAATAAATAGGTTAGAAAGGCGGGGTCCAAGAGCTAATAGCTCAATTCTGCAAATACAAATAGTAAATACACCTCGCCCATGTGCACTCTGGAGCTTCGTGGCTGAGTGGACAGCACTCGGGAGTTGGAGAAAAGGATTTTTCCCCAAATGTCATTCATATCTGTTCAAGGTTGACTAAAAGAAAAAAAATTAACTGTATTATATATTGTACTTTATTATAATTGTATAGAACGTTTCCAACTTACAAAGTTCATTATCAAGTGAGTGACAATCAGATTCATAACATTGAGAGATCAGGTACAGACAAAATTAAATCAGAAGAAAATGCGAAAGAAAAAGAATAGAGGTAAAGCATACTAGAATAAGTCAGGTGGAAAAGTAATTGAAACCCAGGTGACCGTAGCGTTTTGGGCAGTGACGTCATGATTTGGCATTATTCGCGTTCCGTTCTTGTTCTCACTCATCATGGTGAGTAGAGTGAATAATTCTGTTACGTTCGTATTTATGGTGGGTTGTTCTGCTGTTATGTGTTCAGCTTCAAGAATTTGTAATCTTACATCTTGGCCTTTAGCTAGTACGCAAGTGTTCTTATTCATCATTTCTCTCCTTTAGCGTGATGTCACGGGCTTGTCTCATGTGAAGTTTAGAGGCATCTGATTGAAGATAACAGGTTAAACGCCTCGTCAGCTTGGTCGACGTCATAACTATGTACTTGGATTAAAGGTTACATCCTTCATATTGAGAGGTGAAAGGAAGATTGCAAACAACGGTATATGATAGTCAAGTTACAGCCCCGCTCATGTGCCAGGTAAGTCCACCACGGGCTCACCATAGCCCGTGCTACTTGGAACTTTGAGTTCCGAGTAGCTGAATCTTAAACAACAACAACGGAAGGTTGCACAGCGATGAAGAGACAAAAGTATTTTAATTTGTTACAGTATTTACTTATTTCTTTACGTTTCGTTATTTCGTTACGTTATGACGTTTCCCAACGTCAAGAAAACGGTCAATTTAAAGTGTCCTCTCCTAACCTACCAGAGGACCTAAAACAGAAAACGGGACAGTACGTCACTTTCGCCAGCCGCTTCCTTTTTTTCAAGTACGACCATTTTTGGCCTTAGGTAACGCATGCGATCGAAATGCGACGTTCTTTGTAAGAGGAGAAGTAGTTCAATACCCGGTGGATGGGGTAATAGAGACTCACCACTTGTGCCACCTGAATATCTCCCGCTACACAAAAATTAGTCACGTGGCGGTGAACAGACATCCAGGTTGACCACATGTACTAAACACGAATATTCTATAAGCTTGATATTCTGATTAGCGCGCAGTTGTTTCTCAAATACATTAGGCACGCGTCACGGGGATGTAATTAATTCCCCTGGTGTAAAACCACCAGTATTATTCAGTGGGCGGTGACGAGTATGCGATGAATAATTCCCAGGAGAGTGATGAGTACTTCAGTGTTCTGCCTGTGTGGCTCTGTACCCGGTGATGAATCTACCCAAGCTGATCTCTTATTGATCATTGATCTGGTCTCGGTGGACGGCGTGTTGGTGTCCTATCTTGAGGTTATCTTGAGATGATTTCGGGGCTTTTTAGTGTCCCCGCGGCCCGGTCCTCGACCAGGCCTCCACCCCCAGGAAGCAGCCCGTGACAGCTGACTAACTCCCAGGTACCTATTTACTGCTAGGTAACAGGGGCATTCAGGGTGAAAGAAACTTTGCCCATTTGTTTCTGCCTCGTGCGGGAATCGAACCCGCGCCACAGAATTACGAGTCCTGCGCGCTATCCACCAGGCTACGAGGTCCTCACTATGATGTGTGTAGGGAAAGGGAGGAGGGGGGGGAGGAGCTTAATCTACAGCCAATAATAACACTCCAACACCAATCAGGTCAGAATTGGCACCAGAACTAGCCAATGGTAGCGAAGACTGGTGCCCCTTGTATCAATTAGCAGCACATTAATCGTTAAAATATTATGACAGCCATTACTAAGTTATCTAACCATCAAGTAGATACTAAATCTACCAGAGTTAATCATTATATCTCGCATGCTTTATATCCATTTATAAACATATATCTTAATGTCTAAACATAAGGTAATTAAATATTCATTTTTCATGGAGAAAAAATTGTAGAAAAAGAGTGAGGAAATGTCTCTAGCGTGAAACATACAGTAAGGGGACACTAAAGTAAATGTTCCCTCGAGTATCCCATTGTCGTCCAGGAGATTAGTAATTGGTTTAGCGTCGAGGGTGAAGCCGTAGGGCCATCACCCGTGGCGAGCCTTCAGGGGGGGGGGGCTCCCACGCCTGTGTTGTGGGTCCTCAGTACCCGCCCACCACCTACAGGTCCCACCCGCACCCTCAGTACCCGCCCACTATCAACAATACTCGTCCAGATTCTTCATTTCCCGCTCATCTTACCTCATACCCGCACACCACCCTCGGCGAGCCCGTGTTGGTGCTCTGTGGCAGTGTCAGCACCTGGAGAACATCCCCTTACTGCTGTTGCACCACCAGCACTTGCAAGACTCGACTGTGACAGTCAATAGACAGTAGCTGCATATGGAGAGTAATTAAAATATTTAAGTTTCCCCAACCCTATCCCCCCCCCCGAGCTGTGAGCTCACAACCCCGACAAAGGAAGCAGCGCTACTTCCAACAAAGACCACTTAGCATTGTTAATGGAGTGGCGAGGTTGGCCTCATTACCATGGCGTGTTGGGTGGCTTGAATACACTCGCTGCTGAACGACCTATAGCAGGAGTCGATGCTTTGTAAGCTCACACACCTTTGCTGTAATGTAACGCACACACACGCTGTCGGCAGAAGAGTTTGTTGTGCTTGTCTCCAGTGTGTTGCAAGCACAAGGGTGTGATGCCTCGCCTGCGCTCCTCTGAAGGTGTTGATCTTGCAAGCTTCTACCGGTGCAGGGTTTGATGAGCAGGACTCCTTGTATTCCTTGTCAGAATATGATTTTATGGACGATTAAGAAGAATATTGTTGGAGTATTCCTAACGTTAGCTATCTTCTTGGGCAGCGTCTGGGTGCTGCAAATGTAGATAGCTAATGTGATAAATGGAGAGAGTGACAGAGGCACAGGGGAAGCTTGCTTGT